TTATGGGGAGTCTTAATCACTACTTTTATCTTGTTGCTTGTTTATATCTTCTTGATTTAATGTTGGTAGGTCATATGTGTTTAGAAATGTATCTCTTTCTGCTAGATTTTTCCAGTATATGGGGATATAGGTTTTATTGTTGTTGTTCCTCTCCATGGAAATTTTTAGTAAAAGACGAAAGATTTACATGACTTAAGAGAAACCAGAGTAGGGAATATAGGTTTTTAAATACATTTTCTAATGGTTCTCTGGAATTCATTGGAGGTGATTGTAACATCGCCCTTCATCTCTAATTTCATTAATGTGGGTCTTCTCTTTTCTTTTGGTTATTTTGGATAGAGCTTTGTCAATCATGATTATCTTTTCAAAAAACCAACTCTGTGATTGATTTCTATGCATTGTCCTTTTAGCAGTCTTCATTTCTTGTATCTCTTCTCCTTATTTATATATTTCTTCTGATCTTATTGTTTCTTGTGTTGCATTTGGGTTTTGTTTTTCCCTGTTTTTTAGGACCTTGGGGTGCATGATTAGGCTGTTTATTTCCAGTCTCTTCTTGTTGTTGTTTAACACAAGCACTTACAAATTGCCTCTTAGAACTGCCTTGGCTATATTCACAAAGTTTCTGGTAACTTGTACTGTCATTTTCATTTTGTAGGAATTTTAAAATTTCCTTTCTGATATCTTCAATGACCCATTGTTCATTCAAGAGTTCAGTCTCCAAGTACTTGTGTGGTCTTGGTGGTTTTTCTTACTTTATAATTATTGTAGGACAGGAAGCATGTTCGGAGGTCAGAGGACAACTTTGTGGTGTCATTTCTCTCCTTCTACCTTGCTGTGGGTTCTGAAGATCTTACTCAGGTTGCCAGGAGCAAGCATCTTTGCCCACTGAGCCATCTCTCTGGCCTCACTTACTCTTGATTTCTGGTTTTATTCCACTGTAATCCTATAAGATACAAGGAAGTATTTGTTAAGGCTTGCTTTGTGACCTATGATATAATGAATTTTAGAGAATGTTTTGTGGAACAAAGAAGAATATATATTCCCTATCTGTTGGAATGAATACAATGTAGTTGTTTGTTAATTCTAATTATTTATGGTATAGTTTAGCTGTAAAGTTTTTTTGTTGTTGCTTTTAGTTTTGAACTCTATCTAAAGCTGAGACTAGAGTATCGAAGCTGCCCTCTGTTACTGTCTGACTTTTTTGTCTTTTTGTGTTTGCTTTATGAAATTAGGATCCCCAACATTAGTTGCATAAATATTTAAAATTGTTATGTCTTCTTGATGGTTCTTCCCTTGTATTAATATATAGTGACTTTTATTGTCCTTCTGATTAGTTTTGCTTTGACATCTATCGTGCTACATACCAGAATAACTTGTTTTAGCTTCCATTTGGTTGGTAGGATACATCTTTTGACTTTTGATTTGTGTGTTTGACAGTGGGGTGTTTCCTGGAGACAATGGACAGTTGGAGCTTGTTTTCTGTTTTTTTTTTTTTTCCCCCAAGGATAACTTTTTTAAAAAAAATTTTATTTATTTTTATTTTATGTGTATGCATGTATTGCCTGCATGTAGGTAAGTGCATCTGTGTTGTGCAGTGCCAGCGGAGGACAAAAGAGGCTGTTGGATCACTTGGAACTGGAGTTACTGACAGTTGTTAGCTGCCATGTGGGTGCTGGGATTCAAACGTGGGTCTTCTGCAAGAACAGTCAGTGTTCTTAACCACTGAGCCATCTCCCCAGCCCCGAGGATAACTTTTTTTTTTTTCTGTCTTTTTGAGACAGGGTCTCCCTGTAGCCCCAGCCGTCCTGGAACTCACTATGTAGACCAGGCTGGCCTTGATAACTTTTTTTTAAAAAAAAGATTATTAATTTTATGTGTATGCATGTATTGCCTGCATGTAGGTAAGTGAATCTGTGTTGTGCAGTGGTCACGGAGGTCAGAAGGGACTGTCAGATCCCCTGGAACTGGAGTTATGGACAGTTGTTAGCTGCCGTGTGGGTGCTGGGATTTGAACTCAGGTCTTCTGCAAGAACAACCAGTGTTCTTAACCGCTGAGCCATCTCTTCAGCCTCTGGAGCTTGTTTTTTTGATGCAGTCAGCTTGTCTGTATCTCTTAAGTGGTGAACTGAGGCCATTTGTTGTTTTATTTTGTTTTGTTTTGTTTTGACAGGGTCTCCCATAGTCCCAGTCCTCCTGGAACTCACTATGTAGACCAGGCTGGCCGTAATCTCATAGAGATCCATCTGTCTGCCTCTGCCTGGGATTAAAGCCATGTGCCACCATGCCCAGCCTGAGGCCATTTGTTATTAAGAGGGGTTTGCTATTTTCTATAGTTTCGCTGATTATTCTAGTTAGGTGGTTTATTGCTAGTTCTTTCTTCCTCTCTTATTAGTATTAGGGTTTTTGTTTTGTTGGATCTGGTGGGTGCCTTCTTGGTTCTCTTGCCCTTTTTTTTTCTTTACATCTTTTTTAAAAAGATTTATTTATTTATTTAGTGTGTGTGTGTGCACACGTGCATGCGTGTGTGAACACCTGTATATATGTATGTGTATCATGTGTGCAAAGTGCCCTCAGAGGCCAGAACAGGGCATCAAATCTCCTGGAACTGGAGTTACAGATGATTGTTATCCACCATGTGGGTGCTAGGAATTGAACATGGGTCATTTGCAAGAGTAGCCAGTGCTCTTAACCACTGAGCCATCTCTCCAGCCCCCATTACGTCTTTTAATATTGTTTCTTTGTTTTGTGTTATATTTGTTTGTGAATGTGTGGGCATACTCGTGTGGGAGGTCAGAGGGTAACTTGCAGGAGTCAAGCTTTCTCTTTCTACCATGTGGGTCCCACGGATTGAACTCAATATGTCAGGTTTAGTGGTAGGTGCCTTTACCCACTGAGCCATGTCATCAGCTCTGTTTTGTGTTTTTGACATCTTTACTATGATATATCTTGGAAAGATTCTTCTCTGGTCATGTTCATTTGGTATTCTAAATACCTATTGTGTTTTGAGGCCCATTTCTTTTTTCCAGGTCTAGAAAAATTCCTGCTATTATGTCACTGAATAAGTTGTCTATGCTTTTAGACTTTTATTTTCAATTCCTTCTATCTGGTGGATTAGGTTTGGTCTGCTCAGTATATTCTAGAGTTCTTGGAAGTTTTGGTTATGTTCAAGTTTTTTTAGAAATGGCTCAGCAGTTAAGAGCACTAGTTGCTCTTCCTGAGGACCCAGGTTTGGTTCCCAGCACCCACATGGCAACTAACAACTGTCCATAACTCCAGTTCCAAGGGATCTGATGCCCTCTTCAGGCCTCCACAGGCATTGCATGACATGGGTGCACTTACATTCATACATATATAAAAAATTATATATATATCTGAAAGTATTATTCTCTCTACCTTGTCTTCCATTATTAATATTCTCTCCTTTTCCTGGTCTTGTTGCTACTGATGCTTCATGTTTTTTATTTGATTAGCTTTCACTTCCAGCATTTCTGTTTGGTTCTGTTTCAGGGTCTATTTCCTTGATGAATTTTTCCTTCGTGTTTTTGAGTTTCTCCTCCAAATACTGAGCGTTTCATCTGCTTTGCTAACTTTCCTGTCTAGGTCCTGAATTGATGTCTCTCTGTGCTCACTGGTCCTTTGTGGGGGTATATGTGAGGGTGTACATGTGGAAGCCAGAGGTCAATGTCTGGTGTCTTTCCCATTCACTTCTCTACCTTGTGCTCTGAACCTGGAAATCACCAACTGACTAGTGTGACTGACCAACAAGACAATCCTCCTCTTCTCCACTTCCCCAGCCTTGGGTTTACAGAATCATGCTGCGACACCTTGCTTTTGACATGGGTGCTGGGGATCTGAACTTAGCTTCTTGTGCTTGCATGGCAAGTACTTAACTGACAGAACCATCCCCCCAGCCCCTCATTGATCCTTGAGTCTTCCTGATAAATTATCTTCACTGGGATTTATGTTCCCTACTAATATTTGGGGGAGACTCTGATGTCAATAACAGAAATAGTGGTTGAACATCAGCCCTGGTGTTACCCTGTAGCAGAAGGTACTTGTCCACAGAAGATTCAGAAACAGTGGTGTTAGGGTACTGGTTAGGAAAAAACTAGAGTTCATAGATATTTAGAGCTAAGATTATTAATAAGTTGTAAAAATGAGGGATTGGGAAAGAAAATGGGAGAGGAGAGTAAGTGTGAATGAGAGGGAAAGTATACGGGTTAGAGGAGTGAGAAATAATAGAGAATATTACAGAGCATATGCAAAGAAAAAGTAATAAAAGCCTGTTCGTGCCACATAGAAGCTGAAACACAACAACCTAAGTATACAAGTATAAATAATAAAAAGTAAAGCAAAAACATAAATAATAATAAGCACTAAAATGAAACTGAAGGTACTGCAACCTCAGCCGGTATTTATTCTCACTTGTGGTGAGTGTGGTTTCTCTCTCCATTCTGACTGTCTTTTGTAGCAGTTTCTACACGTGGAGGGAGAGCTGTCAATAGATAATTCAAGCAGGTTGGTGTGTCCTTGCTGTGAGGGATGCCTCTGTAGGGACTCCACTTTCCTGCCAGAGGCCCTACCTTTACCTCTAGGGGACTAGTGAAGAATCTCAGCATTAGGCTCCTGCTCCACAGTGTATCCTGCCTATGATCATGTCTACTCTACAGTTTGTTACTGTACCAGTGCTTGTGTCCTTGGGAAGAGAGCACTTCCCTGGCAGCCACTGCTGATTCTCGTGGGTGTCGGTTGGCAGCTGCTCCTTCTTGCAGCCATCTTACTTTAGTCTGATCCATTTTTCTTCAGCTTGGTCACAGGTTGCTCAGAGGATGCTTCTAATCCACCATTTTACCTGGATGGAGAGTCTGGCTTAATAGTTTTAAGTATCTAAGCTTTTTTTTTTCTTCTGGCTGAGATTTGAAAACTTAATATAACCGTGTTTATCAATATTACATTGTTAAAGAGCAAAATATTGTTTATTTTTTGTATTTTCTCCATAGATACACTCTGTGCAGTTCTAGAAAGAGACACACTTAGTATTCGAGAAAGTAGACTTTTTGGAGCTGTTGTACGCTGGGCAGAAGCAGAATGTCAGAGACAACAATTGCCTGTCACTTGTGGAAACAAACAGAAAGTTCTAGGAAAAGCGCTTTCCTTAATCCGGTTCCCACTGATGACAATTGAGGAATTTGCAGCAGGTAAGGCTGTAACATCACAAATTTGACACTATGTCTATAATCTCCCTTGCCAGAGCAGAAAAGAAGCTGTTACTTAGTAATAATTATAAAATAAATACATGTCTGTCTAATTTCATTTAATTTTTGTAAAAGCCTTTCAAGAGAACATTGTCCACATTTTATAGGTTAGAGGTGTTGTTTTAAAAATCAGTAGTCAGTGCGGCTGGAGAGTTGGCTCAGTGGTTGAAAACACTGGCTACTCTTGCAGAAGACCAGGGTTTAAATCCCAACACCCACATGGTGGCTAACAGGGGTCCGTAACTCCAGTTCCAGGGGATTTAGTGCCTTCTTCTGACTTCCATGGGCACTGCATGACACGGGTGCACTGACATACATGCAGGCAATACACTTATGCACATAAAATAGAAATAAATAAATAAAAATCAATAGTCATTTAGATTTACTTGTACATTCATCAGTTTTGAAGGCGCTTCATTTTTTTTCCTGTATTGTCATGCTTCTATCTGGGATCATTTCCACCAACCTAAATGATAATAATCCTTTTTTTCAGATTTATTTTTATTTATATGTATGTTTGTGAATATATATGTTTGTGAGCATAGGTACCCACAGAGGCCAGAAGTGGGCATCAGATCCCCTGAGCTGGGATTACAGGTGGTTGTGAGCTGCCCAGTGATGCTGGGAACCAAACTTGAGTTGTCTGGAAGAGCAAGTGCTCTTCAATGCTGAGCCATCTCTCCAGCCCAAGAATTAGTCTTTTTTATAGAATAGATATCGTGCCACCAGATTCTCTTGACTTTTTTCCATCTAAAAACGTCCTTATTTTGCTCTCAGTTTTGAAGGATATTTTTCTGGGTCTAAAACTTCAGTTTGGCAGTTACTCATTTATCCTTTGAATGTAGTTGTGTTCCCTTTTTGCTTCCATTATTTCTGTTAGACAGTTTAATTTTTGCTTCTTTAAACGGATGTAAGCTTTTTCTCTGCTTCTAAGATTTTAGATTTTCTTTGGTTTCCAGTAGGTTGATGATATGTCTAAGTATGTCCTTTTACACAGCAGACCTTGAATTCTTTGATTTATCCTTCTATTAAATTTAAGGTTTTCTGTTTTACCTTCTTTAAGTAGATTTTCATGGCATGAAGACTTTTTTCTTTTTCAAGACAGGGTCTTACTTTGTAACCCTGGCTGATCTGGAACTTGCTATGTAGACTATACTTGCCTGGAACTCATAGGCGTCCACTTGCCTCTGCCTCACAAGTACTAGGATTAAAGGCATGCACCACCATGCCCAGCAACCATTTTCAACTTAAGGAAACTTTCTCTTGAATTATTGCATCATCCTATTTCATACTATCTTTTCTTCAGAACCACTGGTTGCCCATGTTGGTCTCTGCTTTTTATTATAAATTTTTATCCTTAAAAAATTTGTATATGTATGTATGTGTGCATCATTATGTGTATGCGGGCGTATATGTGTGTGCAGAGGCCAGATGTCATCCTTAGGTGATCTGTTCGTCCTTTTAATTTGGAGATGAGGTCTCGTACTTGGACCTGGGAGCTCCCTGATTAGGTTAGGCAGGCTAGTCATCAAGCCCCAAGGATCTATCTGTCTCCAGCAGTGCTGATTTACAGCAGCACACCACCACCACCATGCCCAGTTTTTATGTGGATGCCGGGGTCAAACCTACAGCCTCCTGCTTGTGTGGCAAAGACTTTGCCAACTAACCTGTCACCCCAGCCCCTATCCTTAAAATTGTTCATCCTTTTATCATAGTCCATGCCGTTCTGAGAAATTAAGTTTTCATCTTCATCTCTCATTTCAGATCTATTTTTTCTTTTTTGTTACAATGTAGATTTTAATATTAATATAGCGTTTTTCCTTCTTTACCATCTTTCCTTATCTACAGATTACAAATAATAAAGCTTGGCTCATATGTGTCCAGTCAGTCCATTTTTGTCATTTTGCATGTGATAATTTAATTTAATTTATTACTGTTATTTTTTTGGTCTTTTTGAGACAGGGTCTCCCATAGCACCAGCTGGCCTGGAACTCACTATGTAGACCAGGCTGGGCCTCGAACTCAGAGGTTCGTCTGCCTCTGCCTCCCAAGTGCTAGAATTAAAGGCATGCGCTACCACATCCAGCTGATAATTTAAATTTTTAAATTTAATTTTTAAAAGACAGGGTCTCTGCCAGGTGTGGTGGTACATGCCTTTAATCTCAGCACTCAGGAGGCAGAGGCAGGTAGATCACTTGAGTTTGAGGCCAACCTAGTCTACATAGTGAGTTCCAAGCCAGTTGGGGCTACCGAGAGACCCTGTCTCCAAAAATAAATAATTTAAAAGTCAAGGTCTTACTATAATAGCTCTGGTGGCTGGGAAATTGCTATGTAGAACAGTTTAGCTTTCAACTCAAGAAATTCACCTATCTCTCCTTCCCCAGTGCTAGGATTACAGACATATACTGCTATGCCTGGCACTGATAATTTTTTTTAACTCTGTTTTAACATCAGTATGACTTCCTAATTCAGATTTCTATGAAGTCTCTTACTCCACTTGCTGTTACTAGCTTCTTTTATGGGATAACAGTGTTAATTCTGGATAAATTTTAGGCATTTGGTATTTTTCTGCAACCAGAAACAGTGAATGGGAAAATTGTACCATATATGGGGTCCTGCTTCCATAGTTTTCCTAACCTTAGCTTTTGCCTTCTGTTTACTTCTAAACCCCAGAATAAAGCACTATTCCCCGTCTTTCCACCTCTAAATATGTTCCTTTGTTCAGATTATAGCCTCTGATAGGTATTAGATGGGGAGTCATAGTAATTGGCTGTCCTTGGATGGGGTACACCACTCTGTTCTGGAGAATGGAAGTCTGTAGTATTCAGAAGAATGAATTGAAAAATCCACAGATCTTTCTGCCTTTTAGCATTTTATCTGTGCTTTAATAATAGTTTTTTGTTTGTTTGTTGCTTTTTTTTGACAGGCTCTCCCTAGTCCCAGCCCTCCTAGAAGCCACAATGTAGACCAGGGTGGCCTCACAGAGACCCACCTGCCTCTGCCTCCCAAGGACTGAGATTAAAGGCACACTACCACCACCACCACACCTGGCATTTAGTAATAACTTTAACACTTATATTCCTTTAGGTTAACTTTAAATGTATACTAAAATGATATGTACTAGGCTTATTCTTTAATTTCTACAGGTCCTGCTCAATCTGGAATTTTGTCAGATCGTGAAGTTGTAAACCTCTTTCTTCATTTTACTGTCAATCCTAAACCCAGAGTCGAATACATTGATCGACCACGATGCTGCCTCAGAGGAAAAGAATGCTGCATCAATAGATTCCAGCAAGTGGAGAGCCGCTGGGGCTACAGTGGAACAAGTGATCGAATCAGGTATCTGTTGGAGTGTGGGCTTGGTGGTGGAGGTAATATTTTATTTTGTACTTTATGCTTAATACATTTTTTTTTGAGACAGGGTCTACCTGTAGCTCCATCTGACCTGGAACTTACTATATAGGACAGGCTGGCCTCAATTTCACACAGATCCATCTGCCTTTGCCTCCCAAGTGCTTGTTTAATACATTTTTAAGTTGATACAGAAGTCAAGAAGTTAACTGCCTTCACCGAATTATGATTGAGGGTGACCTCTTACGGGAAAAAAATGAATTGGGTTGGGCCTTCTGTTGTGTGAAGTCTGGATCACTTCTGCTGTTGAGCTGAGTTCTAAACCTCAATTGATGAAACATTATTTTTCACAGTTTTAAGCCTACAATGTAATAAATTTAACTTTAGTAAGTTTAGTATTAGTTTTTTCTTTGAATAGATGTTGCATGTAAAATAGCTCAGTGTGTACATAATGAAGAACCATGAAAAATGCATACCAATTATGAAGAGCTTACCTTTGCTCACTGCATTCTTTTAGTTACATTCTGAGATGGAATCAGGATCAGTGTTCATGCATCTTGCCTTTTGCACTTCCAGTTATTCAGTGCACTTTAGTACGAAGCTAAAAATGAACAGCTTAAATAGAACTCCTGTTTTGTGGATACTGTTATAACTTGAGATAAGACGTACTTGTAGACTACTTATTAACCATTTATAATGAGAATATTATATGTAAAATTTATAGGATGAAACCAAAGCTGTACACAAAAAGTAATGACTTCTTTTAGCAAAAGTAGAAATAAATAAGCATTTAATCCAAGTAGAAAATGAATTTAGAAAAATCCATAAGAGAAATTAAATAGGTAAATGAAGAAAGTAGTGAGTCAAAAGTAAGAAAACTGATAAATTCATAAACTGATTCCTTAAAAGATCAGTAAAATAAACCAGCTGTCAAAAGTAATTTTCAAAATTCGTATTTAGAAATCAAAATGGGACTATCATATGTTGAGATTTTTACTTTAATTCTGGGTTTACTCTGTGCTAATAAATTGAACATCTTGATGGAATGGATCGTTTTATAGGCAAATATAAATTATCAAAATTGACTGAAGAAGAAATCCTGAGTAGACCAATTACCATGGGAAGAATTAACAGTTATCAAAGAACTGTCCTTTCACAAGGTTTTTACAGGTGAGTTTTTTTTTTAATCAAACATTCAAGGAACAGAGTTTCCTTGAACATTAAAAGAAGAAAATACTTTGTGGTTTAATTATTGAAGGAAGCATATGACCTTTATATAGGAAGTGAATAAGACAGTATTCAAATAAACCTCACCATATATAAGAAATTCTACGTAGTGAGTCTACTAGTACCTTTATAGAATAATATTATATGAACAAATAGAGTTTATGTGGAGATTGAAAAAATGCTCAATGTTAGAAAATGTATTAATAAAGCTCATCATAGTAGCAGACTGTTGCTAAAACTCCTTCCCTGGGGAAATGTAAGTCCACCCCTTCTTCCCTTGGTCCAAAGGACGACTGGTATGATTTCACCCAAGTTCATCCTGGGGAACCAATGAGTCTATTGGGCTGACTTACAGAGCAGTCAGTAAGTGGTTACTTATAGGAGTGTGCCCCCCTGCTCCCCAGGACTGCATAGGAAAGTCCTTACCCAGCTGGATGACGGCTTCCCTGAAGCCGCATAAAATGGAGCTCCCCTCCCTTAGTCTTCCCTGGCCTATATATTCTACCCCTTCCCCAATGGATTGGGAAAAGTAATTGGATATTCAGGTGGGGGTCCCATGACCCTCACTGCCCCTTCTTCTATGCAGAGAGGTCAGCAATCAGTAAGCCCAGCTGTGATCTTTTGCACTTGAGCACAGATGAATTCAGATGATGATATCTGTTTGGCTTGGAGGATAGTTCTGTAAAACACAGACTAAAAGAAAAAAATTGATTTCCATGGATACCAAGATTTTTGAGGAAATGGGGATGGGGGAAGACTTCTGATAAAATTTTACCTTTTTACCTGATAACTATTAAAAGATTAGGTCTAGAAGAATACTTCTTTAACAATGATAGGCTACTGAGGAGAAATTAAGTAGTTATTAAAATTCAGGGTAGGGATACCTACTATCGTTGCTGAATTTCAATAGTGATTGATACAGTCATAAATCAGAGTCTTACATGTTGGGAAGGAAAAGGCCTTTTTCATTATTTCTGACTGACATTATGTGCATTGGCACGTAACTCTAGCAAACCCAGTTCTTCTGCAATAAATATTTTATACTTTTTGTTTTACTGACCTGAAACGAAATTCACAGTGTCACATCCTTTTGATAAATGGCCTAACTATAATATAAAGGAGAAAGAAATATAGTTGGTAATAAAAGTCAAAGGAGAAATAATGTAACGGAGTATAATTAATACTTCATTATTGATTCAGTGTATAGACTTTGGGCAGGACACTAGCAGACAAACTGAAGTACCCTCAATATAGTACTTATATGCACCAGCATGACAGAGTGGCTTCAGACATATTAATATCTCATATTCCAAGATTCCATAGTTTAGTCAGTCCTGTATATTCATGTTTCCCATATTTGAACTTGCCTACTGGCTGAAATTTGTTTGTAACTAAAATCATTACTCGGAAAGTTTTCTTAGCAATTCCAGACAGATTTGAGTTGTCAGACCAGCGGGGGCAGTGCAATGAATGTAGTGTAAGAACCTTGGGCTCTTGGGCTATAGGGACAGGATTGAATCCCAACTGTGACGTGTATTAGGGCAGTGTTGGTCAAGTCACTGACCACATAAACTCCAATTTCTTTTGAAGAAAACAGTCTGTAGGATGAGTTGGCCATAAGATTTACGTTTATATGTAAGATAAGTAGTGGAGTATGTTTGTAAGAAACATGCATGTACATGGGTATATATTTGTGTATACATACACACACACACACACACACACACACACACACACACACACACGAGTTTTCCCCAGTAACAGTAGTTTAATATTTGCTAATTGTATATACAAAAACTTTGTAGGACATAGTTACCAAAATTAACAATAACTGTATGAGTTTCTCTACTTATGTGATACTTGCCTCTTATATAAATCAGTAAAATTGCACTAAAGATATCTTTGATTTATAAATAAAAATACATAGGATCACAGTTTGTAGTTACAATGAAAATTTTCACCTTCATGAATTCTGGCATAACATTTGAAATTTAATTGGGATTCTTTGTTAGGGGAATCTGTTCTGTACATTACAGGAACCTTAAGTGTTTCCAGCTCCTTGGCACATAGCATCTCTAAATCCTAGGGTGAAGAGAGTCTCATTGGAAGTTGGCCTCCTTGGAGAACAGCTGGATCACCGGAATAACCTTAGTATCAGCTAAATATCTATTAGAACTAATAAAGAATAGTAGCCACTTACAAATGTGTGTTTGAAACTCATTTACAGAGATGAGCAGTGGTGGCCATCATAGGAATGATAAACTTATGTCATTTAACTGTCCACCTAAAAATGGCTAACCCGTTCCATTTTGTTTTACTACAAGAAATAAAAATTATTATTTTCTTTTTTGTCTTTTTGTCTTTTTGAACCAGGGTCTCCCGGTAGCCCCAGCTGTTCTGGAACTCACTATGTAGATCAGGCTGGCCTTGAACTCACAGAGATCTGCCTGCCTCTGCCTCCCAAGTGCTGGGACTACAGGCATGCGCCACCATGCCCAGCCAAGAAATAAAAAATTTTAATGTTAAAAAAAAAGAAGTCAGTTATACTGTGTAAATATAACATGCTAACTATATATTACTTTGTATTATATTATAGTAAATGATATATTGAACATTACTATAATAAATGCCAGTATAGGATTAAACTCAGAAATGCATAATATATAGTACCTCTCTGGGGATCTAGAGAACTTCAACTGAAATCACATTTTGATAGGGATAAATTAATTTTCCAAATTAACCTGTGTGTGTAGGCAATTCCTTTCAGAAGTCACATGTTTCTGATAGGGGAGTGGCCTGAAAAAATTATCTTAATTTTTGAATAAGCTGTCTTCTAAAAAGAGTAGTGCAGAAAAATAGGACTAAAAGTAAAGGGAGTGGTATGGGTCAGATATGAAAAAAGTATTGTGGGTCTATTAGAAGTTGTATGAAACGGAGGGGTCCTGAAAAGATGCTTAGTGGTTAAGAGTACTGGCTGGTCTTGCAGAGGATCTGGGTCAGTGCCCAGTACCCACATAGTGGCTAGCAACCATCCATAACTTCAGTTCCAGGGTATCTAACACTGTCTTCTGGCCTCTGGGCATTTCACAACACAGTTGTACTTCCATACCTGCAGGCAAAACACATTCATAACATAAAATAAAAATAAGTAAAATAAATTTAAAAAAAAATTAAGTAAAAAAAAGTTGTATGAAGCACTAGATATCAGAAACCACTTTAAAGTTTTAACATAAAAATGAAACTGAAAATGCTGGAACAGATGAGGGTGTGGACCTTTCTAAACTTGGAATGGATTGTAATTTGCACAGAATTAAAGAATTTTATGTTCAAAAATCACAATGAAGCTAAAAGATAAATGACAAATTTGAAACTTTAGGTAACAGACATTGACATCAAAGCATTAAATACGCCAAATCTATAGATAAACACATATCACAAATACACATTAAAAAGACAAACTCACCAGTTAAAAAAAATGAGCAAAGAGCATGAGTTGGTATTTCATTAAAGAGCAAGTCCAGTGGGCAGTGAATGTATAAGCAAGTGTTTTACCTCCTCAGTAATCGGGAAATGTAAATAGAATTTGTTTATCATTGGTTTCTCAAAGGCAAAAGGCAATTAAAATACTCAGTGTTTGATAAGAGTAAGTCTGCTGGGGTGTAAAGTACTGCCTTAATGTGAAGCAGTTTGACAAACTCAGCAAGGCCTAAGAGTGTACCTTTCATTTGCACCAACAATTCTACTCCTAGGAATTCTAAAGAAATAATAAAGGCTGTACAAAGTAGTTTTGCTCTAAATCATGCATTATCATATAACTAAAAACTGCAAATATCCTATACTACCCAAGAGATTGGTTAAGTAGTGAAGCAGGAGTCACTTTTACTATTTTATATGAATAAGAGATAAAAATATATATTCTGGTAATGATTTTTAGTGTATTTCATAGAAAAATGAGTTGACATGGGTCATCTCTGGATTTATGGGTGACTTGAATTTTTTTTTATCACTGTTTAACTGCATTTCCTGTGTTTCCTGTGTTGTTTTTTCTGAGGATTAACTAGCTCAGGACATAAATACATTCTCTACCACTAAACCTCACATCTGGAACATTTTTCTGATTTTTTAAAAAGGTGGAATACTGGGGTTTTTGTTGTTGTTGTTGTTGTTGTTTGTTTTTTTGTCTTTTTGAGACAGGGTCTCCCTGTAGCTCCAGCTGACCTGAACTCACTATGTAGACCAAGCTGGCCTTGAACTCACAGAGATCTGCCTGCCTCTGCCTCCCGAGTGCTGGGATTAAAGGCGTGTGCCACCACGCCCGGCTGAAATACTGGGTTTTTTTTTGTTTGTTTGTTTTGGTTTTTTTTTTGGGGGGGGGTGTCTTTTTGAGACAGGGTCTCCCTGTAGCCCCAGCTGTCCTGGAACTCACTATGTAGACCAGGCTGGCCTTGAACTCACAGAGATCTGCTTGCCTCTGCCTCCCAAGTGCTGGGACTACAGGTGTGCGCCACCACGCCCGGCTATACCATGGTTTTTAATTAGTACTTACTCCCTTCTTGTGTCTCCCTTTTGGCTCTAAGAAGTATGGATACAAACTATCTTGTTAGCCATTATTTTCCAACCATCCAATTAAATATGATAGACCCTCAATAAAGTATTTATTGAACTGATGGAATGCTCTAGTTTGGGGATGCTGGATTTTGATCTTAAAAGCTGATATGATCATGAAAGATATTTGGAAGAGTATAGCACAGAAATAACTGTTATAATGAAAGTAAGCGTTTTGCCTACTTTACTTGACAGCACAGAAAACAAAATCTTGGGTTCCTATTAGTTCACGTTGTTTTGTGGGCAAAGAAGATAACATTTTCAAAAGTATCATTTGTGATAGTTTTTCTGTTTGCATAAAATTGAGATGTTCCTGATAACAAAAAGCAAAACCTTCAAAATACGAACACTTATGGAATTATTTATGTTATTTTGTAATTGACTTCTTTCAGGTTCACAGTTAATAGAAGAATCTCTATAGTTGGATTTGGTTTATATGGATCTATTCATGGTCCTACAGATTATCAAGTAAATATACAGGTACACTTTTCCCCCTATTTTGATCTTGAAATACTACAGTAATTTTACAATAGATATTGTCTTAATAGAAATCCATTTCAGTGTAATTGTTAAAGGAATCAGAAAGCATCAGTAGCATTTTAAGCTTAGAGATTTCTGTTTTGTGATTGTTTTTCAAAACTTCTAGTTTCTGGGACTGGAAAGATGGCTCTGTGGTTAAGAGCACTGGCTGCTCTTGGGAAGGACCCAGATTTTGTTCCTAGCACCCAAACAGCAGCTAACAGCACTCTATAACTCCAGTTCTAGGGGGATCTAACACCCCCTTCTGATCTCTGCAGGCATTGTACACATATGGTGCATTTACATGCATGCAGGCAAAATATTCATACATGTAAAAAAAAACTGGCTTCAGAAAATTGATGTCCTTTACAAAAGTACTAACATATCATTTGTCCAGGAAACCCATCTTAGTAATTCCTGCTGTATATTGACTTAAAAATCCCTTCTGCCCTTATCATGGCACTTCACGGCCTTGGAGCTATTTCATCCTTCAAATTGTCAGCACTCACTTGGTTTAGGACTGTCAGACCAGATGTTGCCTCGTTATTTGTTCTATTATTGTATTTATTTAGACAGGAGCTTCCTCTGTAGCCCAGGCTGGTCTCAAACTTTCGATCCTCCTACTTCTACCTACCTTTTCAATGTGTGGGGTTACAGGTATTTGCTGCCATGCCCGGCCTGCCTCATTCTTGATATCTATTCCAATCAGCTCTTTCAGATGGAGCACTAGTGTCTGATCTAGAAGAAAGTTAAATACCTCTTCTTTTGTTTCATCCTTCCTAACAAACTAATGTTCTTTCTCCCTTTGATTACAGACCCTAATTGGTAAAATTACTTTTGTGAACATATCTATAATTGTATTTTTATTTATAAACTATATACACATTGTGTATATTTTACATATAAAGTATAAAACATGAAAGGAGAAAGCAAAAAATGTTTCAAGCTTTTATCAATAACAAAAATATACCCTGTAAAGTGTTACTAATATGTGTAATGAGCTCTCTATTATATGTATATACACTTTAAAAAGATATAAGTGGTATATATGGCTTAGTTTTTACAGACTGTACACACCTGTGTAACCAGTTCCTGTAAAAGAGCAGGGCATTATAGCACTGAGAATCCCTTTTGATCTTCCCTTGTAAAAGAACCACTGTCCTGACCTTATAGCATCAGGTGTCTTTTGGCTGTTTCATTATTATGGTTTTATGCAGAAAGGTGAGCTTGTGAGGGCAGGCTGCCACTGTACATACTGTTCTCTCTCAAACTAACATGGCAAGCTCTGACTAGAGCTTTTCAAGCTGTCTTCTGTAATGCTTCACCCCTTCTCAACAGAAGCAGTTTCCTCTCTGTCTACCTTCTTTCATCTACACTCTCAACTGGCACTGCCTGCATGTCTCCTAGTGGCTGGACACTGCCTCTTAGTATCCCATACAGAACTCAGCATAGATGATAGAACTAAATTGAAAGACATTAACAAACATGAGAGTGCATTTTAATTTCAATAATTATTGAAACAATGTTGAGAGTATATTCCTAGACATAGGCTAACAAGGAGGAGTCATTTTCCTCAGACATTTGGAAATCTTTTTTTTGGTCTTTGAGACAGATCTCCCTGTAGCCCCAGCTGACCTGGAACTTGCTATGTAGACCATAAAATCATATATTCTAAGGTCCACACACCAAACTGCATGTATTTTCTGGAAGCCCCTCTTCTGTACTCTTTCGTAGCCAAGCTCCAGTTGTCTTCCTCATCCTTCTCTGATGCATGTTAAACAGCATTTCTGATAGCATGCTTTAAAAGGCCATCTTTGGTAATGAGATAAGTAGAGAAAAAACTAGAATGCAGAAAATGTGTAGTATGCTCTGCAGTTTCTTAAGGCTTCATGTTCTTTTTCCAGAACTTTTAGTTTAACTTAACTATAACCTCTTTACAGATCATTGAATATGAGAAAAAACAAACCCTGGGGCAAAATGACACTGGATTTAGTTGTGATGGGACTGCTAACACATTCAGGGTCATGTTCAAAGAACCTATAGAAATCCTGCCCAATGTGTGCTACACAGCCTGTGCGACACTCAAGGTAAGAGTCATTCAGAATGCCCCAAAGGCTGCACCGGGGGGATCTCGTGGTTTCCCCTAAATGCTATGGAAAGCACATTTTAGAAACTCAGAGTCACCAACATTGGAGTCCGTTAGGAAGGGGACGGACAAGAAAACTAGGAGTTAAAATATTCTGCGGCTTTAAGAAAAGAAGTGCAAGCCGGCTGTGGTGGTGCATGCAAGTCTTTAATCCCAATACTCCGGAGGCAGAGGCAGGTGGCTCTCTGTGAGTTCACGGCCAGCCTGGTCTACATAGTGAGTTCCAGGACAGCTGGGGCTACAGGGAGACCCTGTCTCAAATAGACCAAAAAAAAAAAAAAAAGAAAGAAAGAAAAGAAAAGAAGTGCTGTTTGGCACTGCTGTTTTGAGAGCACCAAATCCTAGCCAGACCACCAGAGAAGAGGTAGCACTGATCTTTTGAAAGAAAAGGTCTTCCTAAGAAGACCTTTGAAAGAAAATCCAATTTTCCACAGAAAATAAAATAATTGTTTCTTTAAAACCTTTTCAATTATTTTTTAAGCCAAAAATTTCATTTTTCATTAAATGATTGCATGAAGTTTTATACAGGAACTGTAATGAATAGAGTAGATCATTAAACTAATTATAACACCACATTACTTGAGTGCTTATTTAATAACAATCACTAATGAACCTTTTGTTCTCATTTAGGGCCCAGATTCTCACTATGGCACAAAAGGACTGAAGAAAGTAGTGCATGAGACGCCTGCTGCAAGCAAGACGGTTTTTTTATTTTTCAGTTCCCCTGGCAATAATAATGGCACTTCCATAGAAGATGGACAGATACCAGAAATAATATTTTATACATAATTTAGTGTTATAACCATTCAGTCAAATCTCAAAAGCATAAACAACTGGCCATGAATAGTTTGAGTGTTGTATTTATTATTATAGGATAAGAAACATTTTAGTTTCTTAGTGGAAATTAAAAAAAAAAGATTTTAAATCTCTGCATGATTTAAAGGGGATTTTCCATTTTCTTGTTAACCCTACAGAAAAAAAAGAGAACTGGGTTTAATTGTGTTTTTTAAAAAACAAAAGCACAGCCTTTTCAGCTTCATCTTGTATAATTTCATAGATCCATTGACTCATGGTCTTTCAATAGTTTTTTTACAGTTGAAAGATTCTTATTATATATAGCAAATGTGGGAATCTTTTTAATTTTTGTTTTAAATATTTTGAAAGTAGATGAGATAGGTCAGTATTATAAATTTGTTTTAACTCTAGTAACTAATTTCAGAAAATTAGGAAAACTGACTTTATAGTTAGGGTTTTGAAATATCTGATTGTTAGCATTTAGATTAATGCTAAAAATAGGCCTAAAAAATACCCAAGAAAGATTTCAATGCCTTTATAGAAAAGGATATTTTTAGCAATGTATTGCATAGTACTGTTTTAAAGATGTAAGTAGGGTTTGTATAAATTCACAATAATGTAATATCAACAAAGATCTAAAGGGATGAACTAAGACTGGATTCTTTATCACAACCCATCCCACTATGCCTGTCCTGGATGCTCCCAGTAATTCCCAGAATTGAGATATAATGGTGATGACAGATACCACTTTAGCATTGCGATTAACCTTACACAGCAAGAAAGGGAATAAAATACTAAGATTTCTGGCAGCTGCTGTGAAATCTTAAAGCTGTCCAACAGAATCACTGCTACTGAAAGAAGGCTTTGTTACCCATACAGTTCTAGCTGAGAAATAAAATATGCTTAATTTGTGTGACCTCATTAATGTGACTGGCACATTAATATTAGGAGTGATCAGAAGTTATTCTGGCAGTATGTCATTTCTACACTTTTATGTAAATCAGATTTGTGAAATTAACATTTTTTCCTTATGATTACCTTACAAAAACCTTTGTGTAATTAATCTTTAGGTATATCATTACATCAGACATCTGTGGAAAATTATTAAAAATTCCTTTTAAGTTTCAGCTTAAAAATTTTTTCTAAAGATAGGTGTTTTCATCAAAAGTAATATTTTATATTTTCGAAAAGGTAAGATGGTGAAGGTAGGCCAAGGTCTCTTGAAATTGCTGGAAAAAGGGGAATTTTTTTTTTTTTTGTCTCTGATACCATGATCTTAATGGATATAAGCCTCAATTAGCTGGAATACCTGTGGAATGTGTGGTTCTACTTAAGATTAGCAAACACTGTAGTAACCACTATGGGAGAAGTACTTCTTCCTTAACAAGTATTGTATGACTGAGGTAAGTTAGAGGGGGTTTTGTTTTCATCTGAGGCATTTCACATGCCTGTGTTTTGTCTGAACAATTATAGAATGTAAACATGGAAGGTATAAGAAACAGAACCACTTACTGACATTGGGATATCACCTGGAATTTTTGAAAAATAAACTTACATTTTTGTTTGTTTTCTTGTCACTTGTCATTTTTTTCCTCCCTAAAAGTTGAATGTAAAGTTTCTAGTTAATTAACTTTTTTTTCTTTTTTTTGGGCTGAGGCTAGCTCAGAGGTAGAGCACTTGCCTAGCATGGGCAAAGCCCTGAATTCCATCCTACTATCAAAATAGAAATCATCAACCGGGCGTGGTTGCCCATGCCTGTAGTCACAGCACTTGGGAGGCAGAGGCAGGTGGATCTCTCTAGTTCAAGGCCAGCCTGGTCTACAGTCTACATAGTTCCAGGACACCTGGGGCTACAGGGAGACCCTGTCTCAAAAAGAACAAAAAAAACAAGAAATCCAAAATAGAAATCATCACAACCTGAGTGATTACTGTGTATCAGCTTTTGCATTAAATGTTTTGCATGCATTCTTGTCACAGTATCAATGTCAGGTATTATTACAGTACCCAGACAAAGAGATAGGTGCAATTTAAACTCGTTTCTATGCCCCAAGGGACTGACCAGGGAAAATACTTTGTTGGGTTGAAAACCTAAAAAAGCTGGGTGTGGTGGTGTAGGCCATTAATTCCAGGACTTCAGAGGCAGGAGCAGGCGACCTGTGTGAGTTCAAGGCCAGCCTGGTCCACATAGTTCCAGGACAGCTGGGGCTATAGGGACACCCTGTCTCAAGAAGATAGATAATAACCTAAAGAGATAACTAATCTGTATCTACTGTGGGATAGCAATACTTCTAAAGAGATGCTTTTTAAAGTATTGATATTGCCGGTCGTGGTGGCGCACACCTTTAATCCCAGCCTGTCTCAAAAAGACCCCCCCCAAAAAAAAAGTATTGATATTTCACTACCCAAAAAATTAATGTGGATAATTTGCACTTTCAAAATCTTGGTTTTAGTGCACATACAGTTTTAGGTAAACAGTTTCAAAATAAAATTACCGGGGACTACAAAATGCTGAGAGGACATTAGAAAAGTGCATGGTCATCAAGTGTGGTTTCGTAAAATGCAGAATGTCGAAGACTTAACTCTCCCTCTTCCCTTTCATAGTGCCTTCAACCTTGTCTCTGTTCTAGTCCTCACACTCAAAATAATGAAAACTGTGTGTCCAAATTGGACAAAGTATGTTTCACAAGAGGGAAGGAACCACTGCAGCCCCAGCACTATGGGCCGCATCTGCTCTTAATGTGTTTAGCTTTTTAAAAATCCCTCTTCTGGGAACACTCATCCACTGCTGGTGGGGCTGCAAACCTGTTCAACCCCTATGGAAAGCAATGTGGAGAACTCTTAAACTATAAACGAACCTACCATTTGACCCATTTATACCACTCCTTGGCATATACCCCCAAAACTCATCCTATTAGACACTTGTACATCCACGTTTGTTGCTTCTCTTTTCACAATAGCTAAGAGACGGAAGCAACCTGACTGTCCTTCAACTGACAGTGGATAATGAAAATGTTCATTTATATAATGGAGTTTTATTCAGCAGTAAAGAAGATGAAATTTGCAGGTAAATGGATGGAACTAGAAATGTTATACTAAATGAAGTAACACAGACTCAGGAAAAACAAAAACAAACATGTTCTCCCTCATATGTGGATCCTAGCACCAAATCCTGATAAGTGAGTATGTATCCAGACATAACTACAGGAACCAGGATAATGGAAAGGAACCAGGGAGGTAAAGGAAAAGAAAATCTGAAAGAGAAAAACAGTAGGAAACAGGCGTTGATACAGGAGATATGGATAAAAATTGGGTTTAAGGGCGGCAGGAGGGAAGGGTATACAAGGAACCTAGGGGATAAAGGGAAAGAAGCAGCTTAAGAGAGGTAGGACCATAGGAGAAGGGTATTAGTAAGGGAGAAAGGGGGGAAATGGGGGCACCTTAAGTGGGGAAACCATGATGAAAGGGTTAGACAATGGGAGAGATAAGTAATGCCTAGTTAGCTTTAAAAACCAGAAGGAACCC